TTTTTTTTTCGGTTAGGGTTCCTGGTGAAATTGAATGCTTAGGTAGTTGTTCTCGTTGAATTAGTTTGAGCGTAGTAGTTGTTTTCATGTATATGTTTGTCGGCATAGACTCGTCAGCCTGGAACTGAGTGTTTCAGCTGGATGAGCTTGAGTTCGGATGGTCTGATTTGTCTTTGTATTGAGTTTAGAAAGTTGTTGATAATTCTTAGATGTGTTGATGGTTGACTAGTGATGCGTGGTAAATTTTATGAGCAGATGTTGAAATGGCCAAGGCTAAAAAGGGAAAAAAGGAAGATCAGAGAGGTGGAGATAACAGTAATTCAGAGGCGGTTGTCAAGCACCAGAAGCTCTGTCTATCCATCGACATGGAAAACCGTCGTATCTATGGGTCCGTTTTTTGTCAATGCCTCTCCCATTTCTTTTTGTTTAAATTTTGAAAATTTGTATTACTCGTATATATTTTTATATGTGACATACTTAAATTTCAGTTTTGCTAATTCTTGAACTTTGAATTTTTTCTCCAATTCTCCACTATGATTTCACCATAATGCGTTTTGCATATAGCTCATTGCACCTTGACTGAGTAAAGATATGCAACTTTAGGGAGGGAGAATGTGTATGATCGACATACAAGGTGGCTTGGTTTGGGAATTGTTTGTAGGGTTTTAGATTTGGCACACTAAATGTTATGGTAGACCCCAATTTTGGGGGGTTTGATAGATGGGCCGTTGGTATCTCATATATCACATAAAACTGGCCATCAATTGTAATGATGGCAAATTGTTTTCACTAACCAACTTCCCCAACGATGATCATTACTTTCATTGCCATTCCCTACTACTATTGTTTTTATAACCATTCCCATTTCATAAGAAGCTCTACAAAAATAAGAAGCATAAGCCGCATTTTATAACTTGTATTTTTAGTCAGTTAACTTATAGTTATTATTATTTATTTTTTTTCAATTGAATGTTAGCTTCCATAGCTAAAATGCTATTTTTATGTTTGATATTCTTTTGGGTTGTTTAGTACTCTTCTCGTCAAAAGGAACATGATATATCAAACTAAAAAAGTATTGTAGAAACAAATTTTTGCTTATGAGCTATACCATGTGCTACTTCAGGTATACTGAACTACGTATAGTTATACCGGACAATGGAATTGTGGGCTTGCATGCGGATAATTTGGCAATTGAGAAGGTTACCGTTGACGGGGACCCAGCAGAATTTGAAGTCTTCCCTCATTATCAGTATCTGGACCCAAAGGATAGGTGGTGTGTCGTTTCCTCAGCCACTTCAGCTGCTGATGCTTCCGGGTCTGTGTACTTGTCATCCCTTGAGATTGAATTGCTGCCGAATTTGCTAATAATGTGTAGCAAGACCAGTAAAACAGACAACAAGCAAGAAGAAAGCATGCAGATGGATGATGGGGAACAATCATCTGCTGATGTTAGCAGGTTTTTAAATGGTTATTTATGTGTTGCTTAGATTTCATATGGTTGAGCTGTGGTGAGAAATTGGTTTTGTTTCAGGTCTGAAGTTCAAGTTTCAGACCATTGCATGAATTTATGCATGTTTCTACGCAGTGTCAGAATATGAAGTATCTTTTGTAAATTTAAATTTCTTTTTTCTCATGCAGTTTCTTAATTTATCTATGCGATGTTGAAACAACTCTAGTGTGTGCTTTGCAGCCGACTGAATTGTCGTTCCCGTTGCTTTTATCATCCTGTAAATAGAATTGTTGTATCCGTATGAAACAATAAAATAAGTTTCGTTGTAATAAAAGTGAATGTGTTTCTGTTATTGATGCTGTGGAAAAGTTGAGTTGTTTACAAGTGGAATACACAGTAAAAGTTATGAAATTCTTATTCAAAACCCTAAATTACAGATTGGTTTTAGTTTTGTTTTCATTTTTTGATGGGCCCTAAACGGTTAACGAGCTCAATGTTATTAATTCTTGAAGAAACATATCTATAAGTAGATTAATAGTACTCTTTCCCTTCTCGCCAATAAGTTATGTTGGTTCAACACTTTAGAATATCTTAATATTATTACTAGTGGAACCATCTCTTTGCTGGTATTAGTTAATGAGAGAAATTGTTGCCGCAAGTAGTGTCCCGACTACTTCAGTAGATATTGTGGACTAAATAAATGTTGGTCATTTCTTCTTGGACAAAAGTGATCATGCAAAGCTTACTTGTTTGAGTTAGTGAAAAATGAAGACATCTCTACATTTGGGTTATCTAGACATGAACATATCATGTTTGTTGTGAAGTGTCCATTTGTCTAAATTCAGTTGGTGCTTAGTGTTGTTCACATGTTGCACCACATCAAGACCTGTTGGTCATCCTGGACGGAAACATCAGTGAGATTTGAAAAGTCTGTTGGCTGTTCAATAACTGCCTTAATAACCTCTTAAGTTTAGTATAAACTAACTTGCCTATGCAACAGAGTCATAATGTGAATCTTACAAGTAAGACTTATGTTCTTTGTTGAACAGCCATTCAATAACTGCCCTAATAACCTTTTAAGTTTAGTATAACTAACTTGCCTATGCAATAGAGTTATAATGTGAATCTTAAGAGTAAGACTTATGTTGTTTTTTGAACAGCCATTCAATAACTGCCCTAATAACCTTATAAGTTTAGCATAAACTAACTTGCCTATGAAAGAGAGTCATAATGTGAGTCTTACGAGTAACACTTATGATCTTTGTTGGGCACATAGCATGCCCAATAATATTTACATTTTACCTGTAGCTGGGATAGTTATGAGGTCTAGTACTATGTTATTTTCACGTAGGGAAGTACAGAACGTGAAACATGTACGCATTGAGTATTGGGTAGAGAAGGCAGAAACAGGAATTCATTTTAGTGACAATGTCTTGCATACGGATAACCAGTTGAGGCGTGCACGGTGCTGGTTTCCTTGCCTGGATGACAATTCACAGTGTTGCTGGTATGTACAAGGCTACTTTTCAGCGTTAAGCATTTAGCAAATTAGGATTCTGATGCTCATAATAATTGTAATGTTTGCTGCTCAGCTATGACCTGGAATTTACTGTGGCCAGTAACTTTGTGGCAGTTAGCTCTGGAACTTTACTTCATCAGGTGAGATGTATATATAATATTTTAATGTTATAAATGTCTAGCAAGAAGTTACTAGAATGTATCGTAATATAATTAGAAAGCTTCATCATAAAGGTGTAGCAAGTTGTTTGTAAACATGATTAGTAATAATTTATGGTTGCTATGGATTTTCGTATTCAAATTTTATTCACTTTGCTGTTTGAGAACACTTACAACATATGCCACCAAATACATTTCCTTTATGTTGAATTGTACTAAAGATCCTTTTTAGCAGGTTTTGACCAAGGATGACCCCCCACGGAAGACATATGTTTACAAATTAGATGTTCCTGTTGCTGCTCACTGGATAGCTCTGGCAGTTGCTCCATTTGAAATACTTCCGGATCGACATGGTGGTCTGGTGTCACACTTCTGTCTACCGCCTAACCTGTCAAAGTTGCGAAATACAATGGTGTTTTTTCATAATGCTTTCAGGTAATTTTCTGATGTTGATGCTATCCTGTCTCAGACGTGGCTCCTTATTAGTATGACTAGAGGTCTGGAAAAGCTGGTTTTATTGCCAGGTTTTGAATTTTCCATTGTTAGGATGAGTTATGTTATGTATTTACCGCGCTTGGATTTTACTTGCCCCCTTTCATTATTAATCATTTAATACTTAACAGCCACTATGAGGATTACCTCTCTTCCTCGTTTCCATTTGGATCATACATGCAAGTTTTTATCGCTCCTGAGATGACATTATCCTCCTGGAGTTTGGGATCTTCTATAAGCATTTTCAGCTCTCACCTGCTGTTTGATGAGAAGATCATTGATCAGGTTGGCTTATAGAATTTTGTCTTCTAGCTGTATCATCTGCGGGCTATGATTTATTTTTTTCTTTTAATATTGGAACTTTTGATCCATATCATCTTAAAGTTTTCCCCTCTTATTTTCAATTCTATTTTTTGTTCTTGGTGATGGCTTCACTAAGCAGAATATAGAGACAAGAATTCGACTTGCTTATGCCCTTGCCAGACAATGGTTTGGAGTATACATCACTCCTGAAGCTTCAAGTGATGGTGATATCCTTATTTTTATAATTGCACTTGTAATATTATAAGAATCTCAACCTTATATTGCTGCTTTAATACTTTCTGTCAGAGTGGTTGTTGGATGGTCTTGCTGGGTTTCTTACTGATTCTTATATCAAGAGGTTCCTGGGAAACAATGAAGCACGTTATAGACGATATAAGGTTTGCTTTTCTTTTTTTTTTCAACACGTCAGAGTTTGTATTTATTGCAGTGCTTCCCATCTTAGCCTTAATCTGAGCTTGTATTTGGCTAATATCAACAATGGAGTACTTATCTTCATCGCCGTAGTGGTACGACACCCTTTATTTTCCATTGAGATCCAATTAATTGTAAATAAGTAAACATATTATGGGATTATTAAATTTATAATTTCTGTGCGAAATTCAAATTCGAAAGATGCAAAGTTCGGGAGTCTAGCTTCATTTGGATTTTTGATTATTTTATGAATAATTTGAGCTCCATCCATGTGAAAAACATTTAGTGACATTCACTTTTTTTATTTGCACACACACAGACAGACATATACCATATTACTTGTAATGAAAATCTTCTATTGATGAAGATCTGGTTGCTGTTAACTGGAACTTACTTTTTTCTTTTGTTGCAGTCTAACTGCGCTGTTTGCCAAGCAGATGATAGTGGTGCCACAGCCTTGAGCTCTGAACTTGCCTGTAAAGATTTGTATGGAACCCAATGTATTGGGTTTTATGGAAAAATAAGATCATGGAAATCTGTAAGTTTTCATATCGCTTGGTGAAACTAAATCTAGGTTTCAACCTTTCTGCCTTTGATCTAACATACTTTGGAATGTATTAGATTGCTGTCCTTCAAATGTTGGAAAAGCAGATGGGTCCCGAGTCCTTCCGTAAGGTAAGTTTGAGAATCCCGACTCCCCTTCTATGTAAATACCCACATGGAAGAATAGCATTTTTCAAGTAGTAGATAGTGGTCACTCGTTCACTCATTCAGATTTGGCTTCACAAGTTCTTGCTTTTGGATATAGTTTATAATATTTGGGCACCCGAATTGGGCATGACATTCACCTCCTTCAAAAACTTCTAGACAAGATTTTCCACCCCCTTTCTTTTCGGTTTTCATAATTAAGCACACCATAAGAAGTATAATGTGTTTCTTTTACATTGTTTTGGGAGTTTGTTCACATTCTTCATTTTTTTTTTTCTTTACAATCTTCTTATCCTTTTTCTCTTGGTTAGGTAGTTGGGTAATTGCTGCTTAGTTTGTCTGTCACGAGTCCTTGATATGCTATTATTAGAACCTTCTTTATGTCTTTCTCATGTTGATGAGCTTAAGCTTTTCATCTTCTTACATGTGTATTTTCAGATTGTTAATGATGCTGTTTTTTTTTTTATTTTATTTTATTTTA